GAAGTAAATAATTTAATTGATATTAACTAAGTTGATTCACAATCAAAATCTACAATATATCGTGCTAAGCTTTCATCTGTATGCTTACTTTCTGTGCTGACTGTTTCACCTAACTTTGCAATGTTGCAACTGTCAAAAGTCGTGCTTATTCCCATACTCGTAAACAAACTTCAAAACACTTCCTTCATTTAATGTTTTTTGTTTTTAATAATTTGATGTTTTTTGGTTGGACGGTGCTTTTTTAATATTTATGTGTTGTTTTTTTAAACTGTTTGTTGTTGTTTTTGTTTAAGTTGTGTTCTAAAACCGAAATTTTGTAAGACTGTTTTATAAAAAAATATATTGGATTTGTATTTTATAATTTAATGTTACGTCTATTTATTAGAAATTAAGATATTTCTGAGGCTTTGATCTAATATAATATATAATTGGCTATGTTAGAGCTTAAAGCTTCGCAATTAGACTAGAGTTGGCTTTTTAATATTATTGTTATTACGTTTTTATAATTTTTCTTAAATCCAGTGAAACTAACTTTTTATAACCTCACAAAATATTTTATAAATTTTATAAAATACCAAATAAGTTTGCCTTCCTTTTCAATGCATAAATTCTATTTTATATTTATTCTTGATTGATATGTCAAGCCACGCAGTTTGTTGTCCCAGAAAGAAACATTGCGGATACTATAAAATATATATTACATATGTTTGTATGTGATCAGCATGACAAGCTGAGTTGGTTTACCCACATCCGTCTGTCTGTATATACTCGAACTAGCCTCAGTTTTTGAGTTATCGATCTCAAGCTTTTCACACACACTTTTCTCTCCAAGAAATCGAACCAAACCACTGGAGCACATAACTGCCAGCTAAACTGATCAATTAATTGAATTTAAAAGAATTTTAAAAAGTTTTGTGAAAATTATATAAATATGCCACTAAAATTCAAAATACTATAAATTGTAAGGGCAATAAAACAAAATTAAAAAAAAAAAAACAAAATGATGGCGACAAATTACAAAAATAAATTTACAAAATTATATTACCAACTGGTCCTGTAGTAACTAGTTTGTTTCTGGTTGTATCAGTACTAGGTACGATTTCATTTCCACCAAAAATTATTAAAAAATAAATTTACAAAATTACAATGTCAACTGGTCCTGTAGTAACTAGTTTGTTTCTGGTTGTATCAAGAAAGAATTCTAGTCATAGTTGCAATTATAATTAAATTAAACCATTTCAATGAAAAATTATTTTCAAAAATTATGGCGACAAAGTAAAAAATTAAATTTAGAAAATTATAATGTCAACTGGTCCTGAAAAAACTAGTTCGTTTATGGTTTGTTTATGCAATTTAATTTCAACCAGTTGAAAAGTGATAAAATTCAATTTATATATGTATATCTTTCTAGCGGTAATTAAGGTATATAAGTTTTTTTCAATTACGAGCCAATAATAGTAATGATAAAATATAAATCAACTTCTAAGACTAAGACTTTAGGAAGTTCTTTTAGTTTAGATCGTCTGAATCGCAATAAATTTATAAAAATTAAATAAGCTATCAACAAAATATTGCAATATAATATCTACCGTTATTTTTTTTCTTTCCCCTCTCTCTTCTTCAACCACACTTGTATTATTTGGACACTGTTCTCTTCTTCCATGAATGCGGCTTTATTTTATTTCTGTCAAATTGTTTATTGCAAAACCTTTATATGTCTGTATAACTATGTATGCAACAAAAACAAAAAAAAAAAAAACTTTTTTACTATGCAAAAACAAAATTAATATTTTCTTACTTTTTACTAAACACAATTTTGAATTTACACTCACTTTTGTATCAACTACAACAACATACACTACAAACAACAACAACTACAACAAAAACCACCATAACACCACATTGCGTATTGAAACCATCACCGCCACACTCACAACGTACGCTTACGAAAATTATTGAAAATTTGTTTGAAAAACAAAAACAAAAACAATAAAAAAACGAAACAACCGAAAATATTAAAAAATGTAACAAAAACCAAATATATGCATAACAATGTGATACAATTTCAAAAAATTATCTGTCAATAGCCACAGAAGATTTATGAAGCCTGTATCACCATGAAGGTATGAATGATTTTACGCTGCTTTTTCTAACTACTACCACTGTTTGTACTCTAATTAACTAAATACTTAGCAATAATACTTCACTATCACTACTACTACTCTTAAGCGTGTTGCAATTTATTAATAATAACTAATTTTTGCAAAAAAAAAAAAAATTTAAATAATTTTAACAAAAAAACTAAAATCTTTAATTACAACTAAGTAACTGTTTCTGCTCTTAATGCCACCATCACGTTTGTTGTAATATTTATTAAACTACAATTAACACTTCTCCACACCTAACACACACACACACACCTAAACTTACACTGTCACTTAAAAGCACGAAGAAAAACTTATTATTTTCCGGCTTCTCACTATTCTTTTACACCTATTTCTTCCAATTTACGTTTTATTTTCGACTCTTCTTTGCAAAATGCTTTATTTACGAATTATACACACACGCACGCACTCTAACCCTATCTCTAGCAAAAATGCACATACACATACATATTTTAATTCAACATTGGTTTTTTTCATAGCTGTAAGTGCAATTCTTTTAATAATTTATGCATATGTAGTAGCAAAAATGCTTTTTTGGGAAAAAATCAGAAACTCATTGTTTTGTGTACAAAAAATAATGTAAAGAACAACCAATTTTACATAAAGACAATTTTTTCAGTAAGTTTTATGTAAATTTTTTTACATTAAATTATGAAATTTTTTGTTACTTTATTTGTAGAGAAATGGTTTTGAGATATGCTTT